TTCGAAGTTAGATTCAACAAATTTTTTATATAACCTGTATAATAGCTTACATATACGTGAGGTTAAAAGGACCAACTAAACCTTTACACTAGCAAAGGTGTAAACAACAAGAAAATAGTAAATAAAAAAGTAAATTAAGTTAAAACTATCTATATATTTTCACAAGAGATACATTGAAGTAATATTTGTAGATTACATGTTAGTTGTATATTAAATATTCCGTAAAATTGTTTCAAAAATACTTTGGGTGCGTTTACCCCCAAACTGTCCAGGAGAGACTTTTTAGACAAAATAGTAAAAAAGGTTTCTATAACTAGGAACTAATTAGAAATTTTACTGAATATATAATTATATATAATTCGATAGTTTTTTGTTTTATACATGTTGTGTGTTATATAATTTACTTGGTTAGACAGTATAATTACTGAAAATCAAATTGGATCATTGTCCACCATCTTAGTTAAAGCGATTTCTGAAGTTCTGTATATAATGAATTAATTGTGTATGATATATTGTCACAACATAAATGAATAGGGAGGGGGTGACTATGTACACTTTATGTATTCGTGTATCAATTCCTACACATTCGTATCAATATACTTTTGTATTAATATTATTATGACAGAACGAGTAGATATATTTAATATTGAACCAAAAATGAAGCCATTCTCCATATCCATTATCCATAATTCATTTAGCCTATGAGTTTACTTTCTAGAGTGACCTCATTTGCCGATCCCCTAAGCTATTGGTTTCTCGCTGTTAAACGTTTACTACGGGGGTTGATACTAATAACAGCGGGCACCAGTTGATTAATGAATAACTCTTTATAGAATCACCTATTAAATGAACACTTTTTATAGCTCTTTCATTTATCGTTTCCGAGATGATCAAAAAATTCATCATGTCAAGAGTAATAACAATTTACTACAGAAATGACAATGTTGTCGAAATTAGAAATGAAAGCAATATTGTCAGAAATAATTATCATTATACAAATTTTGTGCGGAAAATGTATCATTCAAATTGATCGAGAAATAATTATTTTCTATAGCGGATAATGTTTACTTTCGGAATAATTGATGATATTTTAATAATGGTTTTTGTTGTTCATTGAATATAATTTAATGTTTTTTCAATATCCAAGATTGGTGTGCCAACGGTTTCTCAAAACCTTAGCAATAAAAATATAATTATATTTTTAACTTCCCGTAGGGTAAGTTATTGTAATGGGCCGGAAATCGAAATTGAAAATTTTTACATTTCTCGACGATTTGAAGGTTTCTGAACATTTTGGCATATCTTAGAAAAAATGGATGTGTGTGTGTGTATGTATGTATGGATACAATTTTTCGTCCAAGTTTTCGGGCGCACGGATCAACCGATTTAAATGGTTCAAAAAACATTCGATTGCTATTGATAGAGAGATGTGCTAATTAGTTTTTGGCAAAGGCAGGTTAGGCAGATAAAGAGCAAAGAGTGCAAAAAATATAAATCGAGTTTTTGAGAGAACGGAGCATCCGATTTGAATGATCTAAAAAACATTCAAGTAGTAATGATTGGAAGAAGTGGTTATTAGTTTTTGGAGAAGGCAGGCTTAGCCATTTCGGAGATACAGAGCTAAATGTTTAACTTTGCAATTCAGTTTATATAATTCTTATAAATATTAGACAATGTTACAATATTTATAATAATCTATTTGAAAACATTCAATATTTCTCGAACATTTCGTTACGGTACGGGAAGTTCCAGCAATTTGCCTTAAGACACGATGCCATACACCCCACTAGTTATCAATATATTTTGACTTGAATATAATATTTATTAGGTTATCGAAATTGTGAGATTGATATAAAAATTTCGCGTTTTTGAAAAAAAAATATAAATATACTAGTCAAGAAGGTTGCACACGTACTCGACAATCTTTGAGAATGTCAATAACTATGGAATTTTGTCACTTATTTAAAAATTTCAACAAGCTATTCAAAAACAATTATTATTTTTGTTCAGAGATGTAGAGTCCTTTCGTTTGTTAAAAACGTTGTCGCTATGTAATTCGATAAACAACCCTTCCACCAACCCTAATTTAAATAAATTTTTTTCGAAGTATAAGATTTTAGGGTTGACTAAGTCTATGTCATGGTTTAAATTATTAATATATTTTGTAATCATGGTTTTAATTGTTTTCATTTTTTTTAAACTATTTTGGGGTTGATGCAGGAGTTTCCTCAGATTTTGACTTGTTTCGCCTATGTAAATAAATTCACAGTCTGAGCATTTTATCTGATGAATAAAGTTTCTGAGGCGGTCTGAATTAAATTTTGATTTCACTTGAGTAAAAATAGAGTTAAGGGTTGTATCAAAATTACATACCAACAATAGTCCATAGAGTTGAAAAAGAAATCCACGAAAAATAAATTTCTTTTATGAATGGCAAAAGCAAATAACACCGGTGTATGATTCTTAGTTCAAATGGTTCTTATGGTCCATTTGGTAATATATAGATATACACATACTTTTGCATTCAAAATATAGCCATGTAAAAAGTGATTAAATTTATAAAACAAAATATCGACTGTACAATCTAAGGAGTAAAGAGTTTCGTTATTATTACAACGAGCCTTACTGGACATAACATTTATGCACATCATTGTAATTTGAATAAATTATTTCTTACTAAGTCTCCCATAAAATCGATGCTCTTTAAAATAATTATAAGATACGACTATAAAAATTTCAATTCTTATTTTAAATTTATAATAATTGAAAAGAAAAAAGTGGTAGAAAATGCTACCACTATATTTATGAAATAGTAATTGAATAAAAGGGAGATGAATTGAAAACCAAGTAAATGTTTTTTAAATAAAATAATTTGTAGTTAATAAAATAATTATATTAGCTTCTGTTATAAAACCTTCCACTATATTTAATAAAAACTACATTTTCTCTTAAAATAACAAGATTTTTATAACTGATTATAGTACAAAATTTAATTAATGATCAATAGTTTCATTTAATAAGAACTATATTGTGCCATCATATATTTACGGTTTTTATAGTCATACAAAACTTTTAGTAAATTTGTAGCTACTTTGCTCTAATTTTATTTCAATTATATGAGAGTTAACTGATTATAGTACAAAATTTAATTAATGATCAATAGTTTCATTTAATAAGAACTATATTGTGCCATCATATATTTACGGTTTTTATAGTCATACAAAACTTTTAGTAAATTTGTAGCTACTTTGCTATAATTTTATTTCAATTATATGAGAGTTAATCTGCAAATTTTTATCTAAGTGGGAAATTGATAAACTAATCCTTCTGGTTTAATATGGATTTGTAAAACGATAATAATATTAACAGCAAATTTAATTTCAGGTTTTTTCAGCAATTTATGATTGATTTGATAACGTAATAATAATTTACAGCGATTTAAAAAATTCTACACAACAATTGATAAGGAAATTAATTTATATTACTGTACAAATATGTATCACAATTACAAATTGGTCAGTCAACAATTTTTATTATGATAAACAGTTTCTCCATTTATTTAAAAAAAAAAATAAAAAAACAATTTTTAGAAGTCGGTGATACTTCGTTATCAATATCAATGAATGCAATTTTTTTGAAACTATCGACTTAAAAAAAACGTCCTTTAAAAAGAACTACTAAAGTGCCCAGGCATGTTTTATCAAAAGTTTCACACTAAAAAAGAAACGAGTAAAAAAGTAAAAATATTGTTTGTGACTGTTACTGGTGTGTTAGTTATTGCTACAGTTTTCATAGTTTGAATGAACAAAAATAATAAAAATTAACCACAATATCCGGAAAATTGTCACAGTCCGATCAAAGCTCTAGGTTGTACTTAAAAGCTCCTAATTTTTAAGCTGCATGGGTTTTTTTTTATAATTACAATCAGCACTGTCACCCCATTTCGGTTTTATGTTGAGTTCTGAGACACCCTTCACACATAAGTTATTAATGTATAAACAATAACATAGATCAATATAAATAATTATGTGAAAATGTAGAGTTGTTGTATACATTTTTTTGATCTATTATAAATTAATAGTACTAAGGTCAGGACAATTCCGGATTTCTATCTTGTGTCCCGGGTTTTCTAAAAGGCAATATTTGTCCCGTATTCAGATCTTTTGATCCGGACAGTCCCGGTTTTCAAAAATTAATAGGTACATTAAACAAGTGCTAATTTTATTCGAATTATAAAAAAAATTGAATAGAATTGTATACGAGACTTGAAAACGAGAAAACAGATAAAACATAGATAAAAAAAGTATTACATACAATTGAGTAATGAAGTTCTTACTGAAAGTCCGATTTAAAAAAAATTGATTCATATAAAAAAACGGATTTGTTAGTGTATCCTTAAATAGCATATGTTATTTTCATTAAAGCCAACACTCCCTCCTTTCCCGTCCCCGATTAACATAACTAAAAATTGCCGTGCCGGTTTTGACATAAGGGGTTACACCACTGTAGCAGTAAAAAAAACGTATGTTTTTGCCAATTTTTTCGGATGGAAGGAATAGTATTAATATTATGATATTAAAGATAGTTATTTATTGTACTTCGTTGTTTAATAATTAAATTGTTAAATTGATGTAGTTATTTTGCGTGCCGCGGATTTTGACGCGGCTCGCCGAAATGACTTTAGTACCGCCATTTTTAATTTTTTTCACAATTATATTTTATTTTGTTACTTTAAAGTACAATAAATAACTATCTCTAATTTCATGAATATAATACTTTTCTTTCCGTCCGAAAAAAATGGCAAAAACATACGTTTTTTTTATTGCTACAGTGGTGTAACCCCTTAAAAAAATATGGTCACCTTAATAGTACTTAAATTCAAAAATCATTTGGTTAATTGTGATATTATATTAATTATGATATTTCATTTAATTAATGCATAAAGTGCTAATATACATATTATGGTACGATAATTAATAAAATATTTCCTCAATCTACAGCTCGCGTAGCGCTATTTTACTTGGTATTCTACACAGTTTTGGCATCCCTATTCACAATATGCATGTACACAATGCTATCTACGATAGACAAGGAATACCCAAAATGGCAGCTTGAGGATTCAATAATAGGTATGTCTAATTAATACGTCTATTTATTTTACTACTAAAAATTTATATTGCATTTTACTATCCAGTGCACATTGTACTTTGAACATAACTATATGATATATAGTTATTCTATTTATTTCGTCGGTAAGTGATTAGAGCCCGCACCTTATAATCAGAAGTTTCTAGATTTGTTATAGATCACAATATAATACCAAGTGGATATCGTCCTTCGTGGACATAGTTGCATCATACAATCATATGCACACTATTAGACATAAGAGCTAATATATAAAAACCCCACACATAGGAGAAGGATGAACCGATGGGTTGCTTCTCATATCAATACCTTAGGTCATAAGTCATACACAAAAACAGCTTATAGAACAATAATAAAGAGTTCTGGTTGCTGTGGAAACAATAAAAAAAAAATTCTAGATTTGTTACTACTCTCAGACAGCATGCCTGATATTAACCAGTAGTGTCATCGGTTTTTGAAATTTAGATGAAAATGTTTTCAAGTAAAAATAGTCTTTCCCCGACATTGATGCATCAAATTAAAGATCATCAGCACCAGAAAAATTCTTGAACTAAATAACATCAATTATTGTTAGGCAGGTTCACTATAGCAGTTAATAGGACTTCAGGATAATAATTATTAAATTAATTACTTTCTAATAATAATTAAAAAACCATTCATTTAAACAATACGATCGTGAGCGTGCTTTTGTTCATGACGCGACTGAATGTTTGTTGTATATTTCATCAGATTACTATAAATGAGTTTGTTGGTCTCAATAAAAATGTACTTTGCACTGATAGAGAAAATGCAATTTGTTAACACATTAGCAATTAACTGAAATCGCAGTTAAATATATTCATTCTTTATGAAATATTCTATTTTATTAATTCATGTTACTGTTAAATTTGTGAAATTTACAACTTTTCTAAATAAAGAAATTGTTTACTTGCAATTGTATCATAATAATTTTAAACACCATCTTGAATTACTATTAACTTTAAATAATACTATTTCAATACACCTTGTTAAAATAATATTTAGTTTACTCAACTTTTTGTATCACTTCAATTGTTTGAGACAATTTTGTATAGGATATTCTACACAGGCTGCACCGGCATAAAAATTTGAACATTTCATTTAAAACATTGTTATCTGATAAAATACTACAATAACTTCCATTAGTCTCATATAAAATACTTCGGTTATGTTTTTTCTCTGCGTAAGAGTGAAGTTAAAAAACTTTTTACCTGTAACTGATTTTCAAATTACAGACTAAAAAATTAGATGACGTTTGCTCTCATACATTATTCCTACGATGGATAAATATATAAAGCAGAAGTTTTGGTGGAAAGATGTTAGATGTTCTTTATTTATTTATCTATGAGTATTTCATCTGCTTACAATAATTTTTGTCAAAAAGTTGATAACTTTTTCATTTTTAAATGGCACTTTGGATTTCCATTTTAGATTAATGTACTTTATCTCTTGTTGCAATGTGTGTTTATTTTTTGAATAATTTTGACAAGACAATAAATTTTTAAAAAGTTAATGATGGTCAATCCGAAAATTTAAAATGAGTAAATAGCAAATAATCTAGACAAACAACGCATATTTCTTGTTTAACGTAGCAAAGTTTTATCTATTTTCGCAATGATTCATAAAATAATGTATATTTAATATACCTTACTGATCTTACATGTCTGATGTGTTTTATATTTAATAGATTTCCCAAATTTTACATATAAAATTGAAGTATAAGACTTTACTTAAGTTATCCCACAATATACAAAAACAGATTTATATAGGTTTTTGTTCATGTGCATTTGTGCATTTATTTAAAAATTAAATAAGTAAAGAAGTTTGAAAGAATTGATGTTATAAATGAAATAGAAAAGCAGTTGATTTTTTTTTATAAGTTGCAGATAAGAACTCAAAATAAAATATACATTATTTAGATTCATAATGTTGACTCTATTATAATTAAGAAAAATATTTTGAGTTTTGGTGTGGAATGTGTAAAAGTGCTTAACTTAATCGAGTAAATTAATAACGACTTACAATACTTGACATATGTCTTTTAGATTTAAAGTAATGCACTAAATATATTAAACATTTATGTTATTTAGAAGTTAAAGTTCTGATCTAGTGAAAGTAATACATAAATATCAGTGGAATAGAACAAACTCAATTATATTGCAATTAAATACACGATCAATTAATTTTAGGTGAAATTATTAGGTGAATATACGTCAATCATTTATTCGAAACATATCTGTTTATAGTGTTAATTGCTTAGTGTTCAAAAATATTGAAACTAAATAAATATTTATTTAACTCTGACGTTGTTGCATATTTTTAGATATCAGTATTCTAGCCTCGATTACTCGACACTCTTAAATATATGAAACACACCACGAAGATAAAACAATATATTCCGATTAATGGGAAAACTTACCCAAATTGCATAAAATAATATTATAACAGATTTGAAAACCCAAAGTATTTAAGGTGTATCTGTGACATACGACAAAGATTTAAATGCATTTAATGTGAATGGCAATTCAATTAGCGTATTCAACTAGTATTTTAAACAAATAAAGCGTTTATATATATTTGTTGTCTCATTAGTTATATGTATAAGGTTTAGTTCATTTATAAGAATTGGAAACATGGACATGTATAAGTTAGAAGTCAATAATATTTATTATGGGTCGCAATCCGTTTCAAAATTTAGTGCCGATATCTAAAAAGCAGGCAATAAAAACATTCCTTCATAGAAATAGTTCCAAGTTTTTAAATCGTTTCTTAATATCATCAATATTTTTTTTAATAATTTCATTTTTTTTATTTAACAGGAACTAATCCTGGACTGGGATTTAGGCCAATAGCAGATAACACAGAAGAGGGATCTCTAATATGGTTCGACGCCAAAAATGAAACTGAAGTTGCGAAATGGACAACAATAATTGACGAATTTTTAGCTCGTGAGTATTAAATCGTTATTAGGTAATGATTGACTATGCCCCGAATTTTTTTTATATATTTTTTTATATATTAGTTTATAGATCGAGCGATATACAACAATTTGATATACAACTCAAATCACTCATATATCAACATCTAATTCAAGATTGTACATAAATGCGTATATGTATATCAGATTTCAGACAAATTATGCGGGCTTTTTCTAAATATTTTTATTCTTAATGAAATCAAATATAGGAGAAACATGAGAAATATTATTACATTTTCAAGATAACTTTATTTGCCACTGTATTATCTTTGCCACTTTCAAACCTAAAACCCAAGTATACTACCAAGTACCATATCATTGAGAATTTTATAATTAAAAACGATATAACATAACGAATAGTTTAAAGTTATTTTTTCTGTGGTATTTACAGAATAGTTTTTTATTTTGATAAATTTGATTTTTAGTAAATTATACCTTTGGGGATCGACGCGCAAATTCAACATCGCCATAATTCAAACATTTCAAAAAAGATTTTGAAAGAAATTATAAATGCACCCAAGTATGTTCCAAATTGATTGGTTCATACAGATTTGAACATGAACACAGTTAAGGAAGAAATTGAAAAGTTTAGTCTGAGATACAAGGATAGAATACAGAACCACCTAAACATTATGGCCAAAAAATTTAATAAAAAAACATGGCATTGAACGGCTCAGAAGAAAACGGCCTCTTTTTGGTATTCTTTAGTAATCCTATAATATGGACAATTACTCATAGGTTTTATTTAAATTTTTTCACATAAGAACTACATCTATAAGATGAACATATCCAACATCGAATCGGATCACCACTGGGTGACAGATTGTAATTCACAAATGTAAATAAAAAAATAAAAAAAGTAAACTATTTCAGTATATAGCATAGAGTAAATCTTTATGCGATGTTTGACCACATTGACAACATCAACATAACAATAGTGAAAAGACAAAGTTAGGCTGAAAACTATATTGAACGAAAGAAATAACCAGATTTTTTAAGCGAAGTATAATATAAATAAATCGACTTGTTTGAGTTATTTGGTACAACAGTTATTTGATATCATCTGTATCCACCAGGGAAATTCATCAGATTGCATTGTGTTATTAGACTGTGTATTTATTTATTATGAATAAATGCATATAGAGTTTGTATGATTGGATATAGCCTCATGTCAACGTCTTTTTTTAAACAAAACGAAATCAAATTCTGAATCTTTTTCGAATTGATGGGATTTTAAATATGAAGAAAGAAAATAGTAGCCAGACCTATTAACTATAAAAAATATATTTGTTCGTATACTTATTTTTAACTTCCCGTAGGTTAAGTTATAGTAATCGAAAATGAAAATTTTTATATATCTTCACGTTTCAAAGGTTTCTGAACATTTTGGCATACCATAGAAAAAATGGATGTATGTGTGTATATGTGTGTACGAATACAAATTTTCGTCGACGATTTCAGGAACATGGTTCAACCGATTTCAATTATTTATTCGATTTCTATTGATAAGGAGGCGTGCTGATTAGTTTTTGGCACAGGCAGGTTTAGCCGCTTCGAAGATACGGAGCAAAAAGTGCCAAGAACGGTAAATCAGTTTTTAAGAGAACGAAGCGTCCGAATTTAATAATATTATCAAAATCGGACGCTCCGTTTTTTCAATATTCAAAAAACTTACTTGTATTGACAAGATTAAGAAGAAATTAAATTTTTGGGAAGGCAGGTCTAGTGGTTTCGGAGAGGAAAAAAAGTAAAAAAACAGCCATCTGTCGGTCAAACAAGATCTTTAGACATATGCACATCATATTATCAGACATTTTATAGAGATTTTAATATTGTGTATCAATTTTGTTTACATTTATATGGGTTCCGTAACATAGTTCATCCGGAAGACGGCGACGCGGCGCTTACGCGCTTTGATAGTTTATCTCTGTGCAGCTAAGGCAATGCGATTGCTTTAAAAAAAAGTTCAAGATTTTCAAAATTTTCAAAATAAAAAACATTCTATTCAAATTTTTTTTCTTCAAAAAGTCTTTTTTTTTTCAAAAACTTAAAATTTCTCAAAAATCTAATTTTTTAAAGATTAAAAAAAAATTGGTACGGAAAGTACCAGCAATTTACCATAAACATTAAAAATCACATCTAAAGAACTGAAGGTTATCATGAATATTTAATCAAAGGTCAACACATAGGCTGACGTTTATAGGCGACGCACGTACATACAGGTCGCCATCCAGACGTCGCCTACAGGCGACGCTCGTAGCAAAAGTGTTAATGAGTTTTCTTTAGATCTGTTAGAATTTGCCAGAATTTGATTTATCTGACAATGAGACTTTCATTAAAATCGATGACAAAAATCTTTTCTTAACTTATGCGTAGTCAATTTTATTCAATTGCTCGTTAAAAATTATTTTTTTTGTTCCCTAGCTTACAAAAATCGGTCTCAATTGCCAAGCCACGGTGAAAATCAAATGTTCTGCGACTACGAAACGGGGCCCAACACTGCAAATCGTGTTTGTGCCGTAGCCGTCGAGAAGTGGGGCTCATGCACATCACAGGCTAACTACGGCTTTGGACAATCCGCACCTTGTGTCTTTCTTAAGCTTAACAGGGTAAAATATATAGATGAAATTACTATTATAATTTTATTTTATTCAATTATATAAAAATAATACTGATTTCAGATATATAATTGGGTACCAGATTATTATGATGATGTGGCGACGCTGCCTGAAGATATGCCTATGGAATTGAAGGATCACATACAAAGTCTCAAGCCGGATGAGGTAAATACTAAGCTTATTTATCTTTTAGTTAAGTAATCGAGTTTACCTTTGTTTGAAAAAAATCAAACAATGTCATTTTATATTTAACCCTCCGTCGGTCGGATATTTTTTCACCTTCGAACGGTCGGAAAGGTCTGGCTGGACCACCATTCATTTTACATGCATTTATATGTGATAAATGAGTTTTTGGTGTCTTATATATTAACGATTATACAAAAAATCAAATTTTAAAAAATCGTTGCTTTTTTTGTTAATTTTTCTGTTTTAAATCAATGAAAAACAATATTCTTTTTCGGCGCCTTTGAAATGAATGTGAAATTCAAATGAAAACGAAATGAGGTGCGTCGCCTTTGAAATGAGCTGTAAACCTCAAAGTGAAAATATAATTTCACTACAGGTTTGCCAAAAAAAAAAAAATTTCGAACGCAGTACGGTTAGGAAAATTGTTGATAATGTGTGCATTACTCATCCGATTTTCAGTGTTTGCAATTACCAATAAGTTTGGTAGGCTTTCAAGGAACTCTCGTCATATATATACAACGCAGTTTGAATAGAAAATACCATGAAAAAAGACAAAATACTGGTTTACATATATCAAAAAGCGTATATTTCATACAAAATGTATGGGTGGTCTAGACAGACCTTTCCGACCGTTCGAAGTATAAACTAGCTGTAAGTGGAATTCTGTCTTAAGGCAATTAAGGCATCGTGCCTTAAGGCAAATTGCTGGAACTTCCCGTACCAAAAATTATTAATTTTTTTAAAAACGATTAACATTTTTGAAAAAAATGTACTTTGAAAAAATAAGATTTTTGAGAAACTATATATATGGACAAAAAATCACTTTTTTTTGAAAAAAAGAATTTAAAAAAAAAAAAATTAATTTTTTTTTTTGAAAAAAAAAATTTTTTTTTAATTTTTTTTTTTTGAAAAAAAATTTTTTTTTCTTTATTTTGACATATTGTGGAAGATCTGAACTTTTTTTTCAAAGCAAACGTACTGATTTAACTGCATAGGACAAAATATAAAGCGCGTAAGCGCCGCGTCGCTGTCTAACGCATAAGCATTGGTACGGAACCCATAGGAATGTTAACAAAATGTATACTTATTGTTAAAATCTCTATAAAATATCTGATAATTTGATGTGCATCTGTCTAATGATCATTTTTGACCGCCAAATGGCTATTTTTTTTACTTTTTCCTCCATATCTCCGAAACCGCTAGAATTACCTTTATGAAAATTTTATCGTATCTTTATCTTGACAATACAAGTGAAATGTTTTTTGAATTATTTACATCGGACGCTCCGTTCTCTTAAAAACTGAGTTAACGTTTTCGGCACTTTTTGCCCCATATCTTCGGAACGGCTAGACCTGCCTTCGCCAAAAACTAATCAGCACGTCTCCTTATCAATACGAATCGAATGTTTTTTGAATTATTCAAATCGGTTGATCCGTATTCCCGAAATCGTCGACGAAAATTTGTATCCGCACATACATACACACACGTACATACATACACACACACATACACACACACACACACACACATACATCCATTTTTTCTAAGGTATGCCAAAATGTTCAGAAACCTTTGAAACGTAAAGATATATAAAAATTTTCATTTTCGATTTTTTTGCGATTACTATAACTTACCCTACGGGAAGTTAAAAAGTTAATATCCTTATAATTATTCTTCTGTACATTTTTTCGTCCTGAATTTTTCATTGATCGACAGCTAATGAAATTTAAGGAAAAGTCAAGAAATTTCGAGTCGATAGGATTACTAGAAGTATTTTTTTTTTTAATTGAATTCGAAAAAAGTCTGGCCAGACCACGCCGACCGACGGAGGGTTAAAATTATGATGTAATTGTTAGTGCTGTGCCGACTCGAAATATTCTCGATTCGAATTAGAAAAAAACTTGATTTGAATCAACTCGAATCACGCTTGTTTATGGACAAGAAGGCAAAAAGCCCTAATGATGTATTTTTGGCTTTTTTTCATTCTCATATTTCAACAGCTCATATCTCAACAATGTCATTTTATATTTAAAATTATGATGTAATGCCTACTGATGTGCCGACTCGAAATATTCTCGATTCGAATTAGAAAAAAAACTTGATTTGAATTAACTCGAATCACGCTTGTTTATGGACAAAAAGGTAAAAAGCCCTATTGATGTATTTTTTTTGGCATTTTTTTTATTCTCATATCCTAACAGCAATCAGAACCTTACGTCCTATGACTATGAGCTGTTGGGCTGAACTACTCCTTACTTCGTATTTTTAGACGGTAATTCTAAGGGCTGAATTTTTATTGGTGCAACAATGCTGGGCAAGAGCTATTTTCACTTGGAAACATATTGCTATCTACATTTCCAAGTGAAAATCGTTGTCACTACTGTCTGACAACAAGCTGCTCGAAGTGGGTATCGAACCCGGGACCTCTGAATCAAGTTCCGTCGCTCTTAAGCTCTTACATACGAGCAAACCCCCTTTAAAGTAAATGTGATACAAAAAAATGTATGATAAAATGTGTCGAGTTTGACCAATATATTCGATAAGTTGAAGATTTAAAAATAAATTACTATCAAAAAAATAGTATAAACATGATTAGAAATAGTTTAGTGCTGAAAACCGTTTAGATATATTTTCAAATTGATTCACAATAAAAGATGAACACTTCTGCATTGCTAAAGCATTAAAACAAAAATCTAAATCTTCGCACGTTTTAGAATTGATTGAATACAGGCGTTTCGCATGATCTAATTCATTTCTTAAAATCGAAAATATTTTTTATATTCAATAAAGTTTATGTTTATATGTTATAATTCATGTTACATATTGTATCTATCACAGTAAATATTTTTCGGCTTGATACGAGCTGATCAAGTAAAATGTATTCAAATCACGTTATCAAGGGTTGATTTGAACGATTCGAATCAGTTGATTTGAGTTGGCACATCACTAGTAATTTCATATTAAAAAACATCAAATTATCAAATTACCAGCACGCTAATGAATAACTGCATTTTATTTATTTGTAATCAGTCGTAAAGTTAGTATAATCAAATATGAATATAAGCGTTTAAATATCTTTTGATTACACTACGGGAGGTAATAAAGTGTGTCTGCGATTTAAAACATTAATAACGCATAAAAATCAAATAACTGCTTCTATTAATATAACATAATCGCTAGAAGTTTTAGTAACTTCCTCTAACGTAGCAGAAAAACTATTATAAAATTTTCATATTACGAAATAACTTAATTTTTTAAATGAATTTCGCCAATACGATTGCTTGCTGTACGAAATACAAAATATAACACACTAAAAAAATATTTAATGAATAGAAAAAAATTACACTTTTTAAAGTGTAAAGGAGCTAGGGGCTATTTGTAACAGGTGTAGAATAAGATCTTTATAAATATTAAAATATTTTTTTATCTCGATTGGGCATGTAAACCATCCCTTCAAAATATTGTCATAGCTATTGTCCCGCAGGCCAACTCTGTACACAGAACTGTGCAGTCTCGGCATATTTGATATAAAATTGATTTTTCCAAATTCCGGTTTGCGTTATTAACGACAAATTTTAAAATCTATCTATCTTATTCTATTAAAATTTTATATAAAGTGTCAATCTTTGATAATGTGTAACCATTTTTGTGATTTCGAACTACTACCTCTCGTACTTTTATACATCTTTGACAAAATTAGAGGCGTATGCATAGTTATATATTTTAATTGCTATATGTAATTTTAAAGTCATTTTTAACTTCCAGTAGGGTGGTTGTAGTAATGGGCCGAAAATCAAAAATATTTTTTTTTGCATTTCTCGACGTTTTGAAGGTTTCTGAACATTTTTGCACACCTCATTGTCAGAAAAAATGAATGTGTGTGTGTGTGTGATTTGTATGTCCGCATTTTTTCGTCCACGTTTTCGGGCGCACGGATCAAAGGATTTGAGTAGTTCAAAAAACATTATATACCTACTGATAGGGATATGTGCTGATTAGTTTTTGGCAAAGGCAGGCCCAGCCGTTACGGAGATACGACACAAAGAGTGCAGAAAATACAAATCGAGTTTTTGTGAGAACGGAGTATACGATTTGAATGATCTAAAAAACATTCCATTTGTAATGGTTGGGAGAAGAGGTGATTAGTTTTTAGCAAAAGCAGGTCCAGCCGTTTTAAAGATACAGAGCTAAATGTGCAAAAAATGGCAGTTTTATAGTGAACTAAGCGTCCGACTTAAATTATTCAAAGAACTTTCTGCTTGTTCCAACAAAATAATTGCTTTTGGAACAAAAAATTTTTGTTTCTAATTTTTTTTAATTTTTTTTTTTGTATATCGAAAATAATTCAGATATTAATTTTAATCCTGTTCTAATACAATTTAGAAAAATAATTTCAACTTTGCAATTCAGTTTATATAATTATGATAAATATTAGACAATGTCACAATATTTACAAAAATCTATTTGAAAACATTTAATATTTCTCGAATATCACCTCGAATGATTATTACGGTACGGGAAGTTCCAGCAATTGCTTTAATATGTAACTCATGATCATTGATAGAAAAATTAAACGAATAATTTGCATCTAGAAATAAGTTATTCATATGCAAAATATTTGAAGTTCCTAACAGAGTAAATAAATATAGTTATAGGAAGTGAATTTTATATAATTGAATCAATATTTGTGCAGCGTGTGTGAATCGATATAGGATCGATACCGAGACAAAAATAATATTAGGATATGTTTGCAAATCTCTAGTAAAATAATTTTGTCTTCAACACTCAAATATATAATAATATAATTTTTACTCACAAACAACCCATATGTATACCCGTATGTATACGTTCCCATCTCATATATGAACTAATTAAAATTAAATTATATGTAAAACACGATTAAGATCAGTTTTTTTCTTATTTGTTTCTATCATCTAATTGTGTCATGGTAATTAAAATTTTTTTGATCAGTTATGGAGTTACCAAAAACAATTATCATTCTCCTGAATATTCGCATGTCACGTATTTAATTAAACTGTGGGAGTAGTAATGATTATGATAATATATTAAATTAGAAACTCCCAACAATAAAAAATATATCAATTTATTAACTATAAAAATATTTCGATATCAAAAATATCTATGACATGTCCGATTGTTTTTTACAAATCAAAACCAGCCTGCTTGATATCGCCACACACTCCCTGCCCAGTGTTGATCTCACCGTTTAAAAAAAAAAAAAACAGGGAAACACGTTATAAAAATGTGGTGGGAAAGCAGATTATAGCAGACCAGTGTTGTAATACTGGTTAATTACAAATTTCCATGTTTTGTCAGCAGATCCACCGTATGTGGTGATTCGACCTGCCATCAACTCCATATTCTGCATAAGGTTCTGATTAATGAAAAAACATGTGGAAAATTTCCTGTACCTCGATGTCGGTGAACTTCTAAGATTCAGCCTCCATCTAATTATATTAGTTATATCAGAATTACTTAATGTTTAGAATGCATAATTTATGGGTACAGTTTCCATTTCTGCAAGCGTTGCATTCGTATCTGATGAGTTCCGATCAGAGAAAGAAGTTGGCTCTTTATCCAAATCAGGATCATTGGTTTCTTTGACATAAGAGTCCAGAATTGTGGAATCCAATAAATTATGTCAAATTTTGTTTTGATTCGTCGTTGTCACCGATAATGGGAGGAAGCATTATAAGACGATTTGTTGAGTTAACAGAGAAAGAGAGGTTGAATTGCATTCCAATGAAAAGTTCATGCTCCAAATTATTTTTTTCTGTCAGCAATAAACACTGAGGTCTGGGTATACCAAATGAGTAACCTCGGAAGTCTGATCCAGATAGTAAGTGCGTTAACTATGATGGATTGGACTGGACATACCTTATAGGTCGTCACTGAAGACCAGTGATTATGGTGCTGCGTCAAAATCAATTTTTCTTAAATTTTCGAAAAATAAAACTCCTTTATCTTCATATCCATCGTCGTGAGTCACCAATGTGGGAGTCGTAATGTTTATGATAATATATAAAATTAGAAACTCCCAGCATAATAAAAAAAATATAAATTTATTAACTATAAAAATATTTCGATATCAAAAATATCTATGACATGTCCGATTGTTTTTTACAAATCAAAACCAGCCTGCTTGATATCGCCACAAAACAAACATAATTTGAGAAGTAACAAGAAATGTATGCAGTAAGATTTATATGATAAAAATTAAGCAAACATAATGACATGATTAAGCCATGACAGAGACATATTGACTGTGGCCAGTATGTGTGATGATAACAACTATCTCAAAAAAGATAATGAGAAAAATCGCAATGTGAATTATCACATGTCAGCTGATTTTTGTCACTGGAGATTGAAAAATACGCATGAATACTATTTATTCAAAGATTATGCTGAATCTTCAAGACAAAAAGTATATGACTATTCATCTGCAACTATAAAAAAATGATAAAAATTAATTATCCATTTTTGTACAATATCGGACAGAATGACATTCTTATACAATCAAGAAATTAATTAAAAACCTGTCAAAGCTTTGGCTTTGACTACCTGAAGAACTTCGAAAAATATTTGCTAACACAGTTCAAAAGCACCAACTAGTCCCGGGTTCGCTGGTTCGATTCTCGCTACCGACAAATCTGACATCAGGCAACTTTGATGTCAAATTTCCACTTGAGGTTATAGATCTCAAATAGCCTCAAGTGAAAATCGCCTCTCGTGGATATAGTTGCATATATAATAAAAATGCCAGAAAATACTTCGAGTATAGACAATTAGTCATAACAGGACTGGACAACTACTGGGTTGCCATTCATTCAAGAACAATATAATTAGAAAAATCAAAACAATACCTAAATGTCCTAGGTGTGACAGATTGTAATTAAAAAAAAAACAATAAAAAAACAGTCTAAAAGATCCACCGATAAAAAGAATAGTCTTGGATTTGTGCAAAACTTTTTTTTTCATTCTGATCCAAATGAAGATTGGTTATAATGTAACTTGTACCCTTTGGGTTAATGCTTCATGTACTAATGTCTCAAAAAGAGCGAAACAATGTATTTGTGAACTGCTTTCTTAAAAATTAGCATCTCAGTATATCCTTACCCTATGTCATTTTGTCTGTACGATATAGACAAAATGATTTTTGTAATAGGTTGCATTTTTCCTTAATAAATATGTTATTATAGTCCCTACTTAATATCTTACTAGTAGTCGATAAACTTAAGATGAGTAAGAACGATTGATATCTGTCATGATATGAAATAAATAAATATCATTAAAAAGAAATAAACATATCATTTTGTCTGTACTTCCCCTATACACGCAGGCAATACCAAAATAAAGACAATTTTGTCAAATTTTATAGCTAATATAGTAAATAAAACCACATTTTAAAAATGTAAAATCTATCTAGAGAAACTACAACGTAATAAATTCTAACTAATGAATCTAATGAAATTAGTATGGCATTGGATATTAAAAATGCAAATAAAGCGATGCACCATACAACTCTAAAAACTATTTGTCGATATTAATCACATACCCTTCAATTAATAATAATCAATTCATCGATAAGTAGACTGACTAAATATCAAAAAAATTAATGAGTCCAAATACAATATATAATGTATTTACAAATTGGTTCAATTCTTTATCTCTTAACGTCATACATCTTTTTGTGATAAATTAGCGTAAAATCGTTATCGACACGTAAAGATATAATTTATAAAAATTAATTTAGCGTATTTCTCAAAAGTTGTTTTTATCATGATCAAACAGCTATACAAGGTAGATCGTATGCAGATATTTTTTATTTGATTGTGATCGAGGTTGTATATGAAATATTATAAAATAATACGTTGAATCGTAACCTTATCATATATGTTACATTTGTTTGGTCTATACTGACAATGTCGGAATTTGTATGAAAAATTCGGAAAGAATGCACCCTTTTGGGCGTCATCAGATTTTATTTCGTTTTTTTCTTTTTATTTAATATACTTAATTAACATAATTAGCATAATTAACAACTCCTTATAATTTACGATTGTCCTCTGTGGACATTTCTAAAAATTTGTAGATATTACCAGCATTACTGGAATGAAATTATCATTGAGTAGGAATACAATTAAGTTACTATACGAAAAATAAGAAATAGACATTGCTTTTGGGAAGTCAATAGTCAAAAGGCTTTGGGCTAATTGAATAGGTTGAGACCGTTATTTGTTGGTTGCAAACGGTATTATTATTTTGTATAGTGAGCATAATATATATATATATATATATATATATATATATATATATACTAAAAATTATTTAAATTAAATTATATTATAAATACCTTATACCTTACGTTGCAGAGGAAACAAATTTGGGTTTCGTGTCAAGGAGAAAATCCAGTTGATCGAGAAAATTTGGGCCCAGTTGAAATGTATCCAAGCATGGGATTTGCTGGATATTATTATCCATTCAGAAACCAACGAGATTATCTTAGTCCATTAGTTGCTGTTCAATTCAAAAGACCTACAGGTAAGAAATAAATAATAAATGAAATTGTACAAACTTTGTATCAACAAAGTTATTATATTGTTTATACAAAATTTAATAATGGTCATGAGAGACTCTCAAAATAAAATAATTATTTTTTCAGGTTTTAGATATACTAATTTCAATAAACTGAGAATTTAAAAAACTGAGAATTTAAAAAACTGAGAATTTAAAAAACTGAGAATTTAAAAAACTGAGAATTTCAAAAAAAACTTTAGCATTATCATTCACAACAAAACCTTTTTTACGATTTAAATATCTAGACTTTTGAGCCGTTGATGATTTTTCATAATTTCTAAATTCAATTCATATTAAAAATAAAACTACAAACTTGTGATTTGAAACTGTGTGGAACAGATTTCCTTATCCAACATCGTAATACAAATATACAAATGTTTAGTTGCATATCTCAAAACGGTTTTAAAAGTCAGAGAACATATTATAATAAATGATCACAAAAATAAATAATTTTATCAAAATTGTAACGTATCCCATAAAAGTCCCTAGATAGCATTCATTCTTGTAATTTTGTTAGCGTTTTACCAAACCTCGAACCAAATATGAACCGGGTTTTGAAAAATTATAAATGCATAAAAAAATTGCAGTAAATGGATAAAAAAGTGCAAATTTATTATAGTTAAATAAAGAATAAATCACTTAACCTAACTTAAATTGAATCATACAATTAAATTAGTCATACAATTTGTGAAACTAAAATAAAATGTATTATTATAAATAAAGACCCCGACATATCAGTTTAATTCGTTCCATAACCACACTCGTATGTCAAATCGCTCGTATCTCAAAGCAATTTTGTCAATACATAGATTTTTTTTTTTGAATTTTAATATTTGTTGCAACTGCTAAATAACATAACATCTAGTAACATTATGTATATATATAAATAAAATATAGCACAAAATAAAGCTCAGGATTCCAAATTGAAAAGCAATTAATGATAATAATTAATTAAATTAATAAATAAAATAAATAAAATTTGTGAATAATAGAAATAATATTAAAAAAACAAAGTACAATAAATGACAAAAAATAATAAAAATATATTATATAATATATAATATTTAATATAATATTATAAATAATAAAATATCATAATAAAAAAGAAAATAAAGAATATTGATAATTTAAAGTGATGAGCCATTAAATACATTAAAATGACATTAATTTGTTCTAGCTCTGAGGTTTTTTTAAGTTTTTTGAATGTCAAAAAAAAAATACGGATTATTAATTTATTTATTGATTTTTCTAGTCATTCATGATATTGCGTACATGAGTTTCGTTGAACAACTCCCATGTTCGAATTGTTGCAATATTTTCAGGGTTATTTTAATTTTAATTCACAAACTTTTAGAGCTGAGAAAGCTAAATCGTTACTACACAATTAATATTAATAAATAAATTGAAATGACGAACTATAAAATAATTTAATATCATAAAGCAGCCAAAACAATTCTATGATAGGAAAATCATTGTTAAAACTGACAAATACTTTCATTTTGTCATTACTCGCTCAAAGCTCGTATCTCAATTTTGCTCGAAGCAACAAATTGCTTTGGCTGCTCGTATCTCGAAACATTTGTATATCACGTCAATCTTAAGTCGCGGTACCACAATTAATATTTGATATGGTAAGAGATCAATGATTCATAAAATAACTAATTTAGGACAGAATTTTTTAAGTCTAAAAATCTTAATGTAACCAAAAATGATAAAAAAAAAGAATAATTTTTTCTCGTTTTCAGCAGCAAGTTTTAAATACAGTCATATGCAAACGCCCTCAGTCATCAATGGTAGTATATGAAAATTATTAAAAAACTGAATCAATTTATGAACTTACGTTTTCAACATTACGAGACGTTTAATAATTTTGATAAAAATGTACTAATCCAATGATGGACGATGTTTAAACTATGCAAAATCACATCTCGTAGAATATAAATTGAAAACTAAATGTACACACAAAATATGCTTAAATAATCAGATAATATTGTTAATTTTAGTCTGATATTTCAAACTTTATCAACAATGTTTACTCGATCATACCTGCGCCATGTTGTGTGCCCTCCGCCATGGTGTCGTATTGCAAAATTGGCGCCACAACTTATATAATAAAAACACATGGTCAAAATTTAACATCAATGTATATAGGTGTGGCAAATAAATTTAACTTTAATTGCAATTAAGCTTTGATCTTAATATGAATTTAGCAAAACAATCACTAAGCAAACTTCTTGCAATGATCGACATATTGACATAACAGGAGCATGTTATCACAGGGAGATCCACTTACCACTAAATTCACCATTAGAATGACCTAAATTGAAACTATCGCAGCGCCCCTTGCGGTAGTTTTTGGACATCATAATAAACCGCCAATTTGAAATAGTTTGACACTTGACGCAATTCATTCTTGTTTGTCGAATCAATTTATATTAAAAACCTGAAAATTAAAAAAATAACAAATTAATTATATATTCAAGTTAGCAATAATATTTAAAGGCTAGTTCTATTTTTACATAGATCTTTTTCTTATAAGTTACTAGAAATTGTTGACGCTTCGAAAAAAATAATTTTAAGCCGAACAGCATAAATCAGATTGCTATACGATATTTTTTATTTATTCGATCATTCTATGAATTGATCAAATTTAGTTCAAAAATGTTATAAAGCTACCATCAAAAAATTTGTTATCTATAAATTAATATAGGTTATTAACATTTTTCTTCTAACCTTACTACTGTAATTTTCAGTTCTCTTTTGAACCGGAGTTTGAAAAAACATATTTTTTTACTTACGATGCTATTTTACAGATTCTTAAATATTTCAGAATGTATATGAAAAAATAAATTAAAAAAGTGCTATTTTAAAAATTTTAAATAATTGGAATAATTTTCATAAAATGAAGGGCGAGTGGTCCTTATAATAAAGTAATATACACATGTTGTATGTACGCTTAATTTTTTTTTTGTTATTTTCATATCTTAACAGCAATCAGAACCTTACGCCTAAGACTGTTGGGTTGAACTTCTCCTTACTTCGTATTTTTTAGATGGTAACCCAATAGTTAATGATCCACGTTAGTTTGATGATTTCATTGTTAGAATTTATCTAATAGGGCTTACTTTGTATTGGTGCAGCAATGCCGGTTAAGGGCTATTTTCACTTGGAAACATATTGCTATCTATATTTCCAAGTGAAAATCTTTGTCATTGCTGTCTGACAACAGGCTGCTCGAAGTGGGTATCGAACCCGAGACCTCTGAATCATCGTTTTTGAATATTTACAATTCAGGAATTTTTTACAATATTTCTACAATCGTAACTCAATACAAGACGACGTACTTTTCTTGAAATCTTGGTGTTTAATGTTTTTACCTTGGAAATATGTACGCAAAATAAAGCGTTTTTTCAAGATTTAACGTTACAACATGATTTTAATAAAATTATCAAAAAAAAAAAATGAATGCATATAGCACAAACAGAAAATATAAATTTAGCTTTAACTTGATTCAATTGTAATTACTCTTCTGGTTGCTGTATAATAATAAATAAAAAAAAACTTGCTTCAATGATTCTATTCTTAATTAATGCTAATTAATTAAAAGGCATAACTACTATACTTTCAGACAATTTGCAAAAACACATCTACAAAGTACAAATGCAGTTAACACAATCAATAACATTATAAGAATGAATTTATTATGTAATATAAAAACACAATTTTAAGTGATGCCCATCATAAGTACATGTGCGCATGAATAATTTTTAAGAAACCACAATTATTTAAAATTCATTTTAAACTACGCTAAAATCATAATTCATAGTGATGATTGTTATATATGAATTTTGTAACTTATTGCATGCTTAATGACAAGTGAAAATTCGCTATTACTTAATTAATGTGTAATGAATATTAAAAATTAATGAGAAATAAAAATAGTAACAAGAATAGTGTTTTAATTGTGGTAGTAAGCAAAAAGTTGTCCAAAATATTCGCAAAAAATCGTAATTTTTCCTCAATTACACAAGAACTTATTAGGTTTCACTGCCCGAACAAGCGACCGACGGACTATAATACACTATTTTTTTTATCTACAATGTGTAAAATGTTTTTAATAAAAAAGAATTATATTATTAATAGCAATCAGGACTTAATAGTCATATAAACTTGTGATGACTTTTTAATAACATGGCTTTCTAAATGACAACCCAACGGTTGAGCAATCTTTTTGATAAAGTTATTACTAGAATTACTAATACTAAAAAAAATGGTATACAAAAATTCCGTATAAGAACAATTTCATTTCGAAACATATTTTTATCTATATTCAGGTAAAAACCAATGTCAATTATTTTTTAATTTTTTTTTTTATAATTTTATTTGAACAGCGATCAGAACTTATGGGTTCTTTGAGCTGTTGTGATTAATATCTTACAAACTACGTTACGAAACATATTGCTATTTATATTTCCAAGTGAAAACCGTTGTCACTGTTGTCTGACAACAGGCTGCTCGAAGTGGGTATCGAACCCGGGATCTCTGAAACAAGTCCCGTCGCTCTTAACCGCCTACCTACGGGCGAGCTCATTTTTTAAATTTAATAATATTTTTTAATCAAAATAAAAGTATTTTACTATTATTTTGCTTAATTGTCATACCAAACTATTAATTATGTACTATGTACTATTAAGTTCCTGATAAAGATCAATAAACCAAAACAAGTCTTCAAAACATGGATGTTACAATTTATTTATAATTATTATTATTATTACATGATATGACTAATTGATGACTTGAACATTTAATTTCGGAATCCTTATCACAAATAATTTTTCCTTTCCAGTGGGACGTTTGATCAACGTGGAATGTCGTGCCTGGGCCAGGAACATCATCTATCGTGGTGGCAACAAGGATCGACAAGGATCCGTCCATTTCGAACTGATGATTGATTAGAATCGACATTATTAGTGTTAATTTTACTTTATTGATATCCTAAGCATTATCGTTCTGTGTTATCGCGCCTTGTACATCGTTGCAAAATAGCTCGTACGTCGATGTTGTGAATAGAATTTAAGTTTTAATTTTAAGTATGATAATTAATGAAGTGTTTAATAAATCAAAATGAACTTTGAGTATAATAGACTTTATATTTATATCTAAATAAAGTTTACGCGGTTTTGTTATCATTAAAGGTGTAAGATTTTAATATTTATAATTGTTTATATATTAGCTATAAATGTGTAAATATACGTTATTTAATATAGTACAAAACAAGTTGATTTATTTAATGCCTATTGTGAAATATGTTAGTGTAGTATAAAATGCTTATATTTTATTATGTATTTAGAAAATATATTACATTTACTTATTACTTTATACTTATGTTATTATTTTGCGGAGGGTTTTCCAAAATTTCTATCAAATTATCAAATATAGCTGAATGTACTTTGTATAGTTTGCTATGAAAAAAAAAATATCAAATGCTATAAAAATGCGAAGATAAATATGTATATCAATTGATAAAGGGTTATTCAAACTATATCTTAGTCAAAAGTGCTAATTTTTATAATCATAAACTCATGTCCAATACTAACAATTACGTCTAGAGTATTTTGCGTTGATGTTCCTGTACTGTTATTATAACGTTACATAAATAAACATAAAATTAAATAAACATAGACAGACATAATTATAATAAAATTGTTTATATATATATATATATATATACATGTATATTCATTAGGGTGGTCCTTAAAATGATTATTTTCGAATTTCCTTGCTCCCAGGAGCTGAAACTTTCAGATAATTTGTTTTTTTATCAATTTGGAACCATTTGAGCCCTTGAGAGCAAGGAAATTCAAAAATGACCATTTTTAAAACCACCCTGATATATATATATATATATATATATATATATATACTAGCTAACCCGACGAACTCCGTTTCGCCACCAGATGGTTTCGTTTTATATTTGAAAAGGAAAAATTTGATTTTATTGCACAACAGTAATGAATTTATTTTGATTACAAAAATGAAGTGTTTCTCAGTTAAACTTCTCTAAGTAAATGAAAGTGAATCCGCAAACTATCCGTTTCATGGAAGTGATCTTTGGTAAACCACATTTTTTGTTTTTTGGTCTGACGTTAACACAAACAAAGCGGATGGCTTTCCAACTCGTGAACAGGCAACGTATGACTGCCCTTGTGAAAAACAATGATTTTCTAAATAATCTATTTGAAATTTATCCTGCAAACACTAAGCGATTGGCCTTGCGACTTGTTATTGCGAACGCAAGGCGAACTGGAAATTGCAATCGTTTGAAGTCAAACGGAAGACCAGTCGGAATCATTGGTATGTCACCAAATCGCAAGCAATTTTTGATTGAATGGTGATATTCAGTGCGTGTACATCATTATACTCTGTGGCAAGAATTGTTCGTTGACTTAACCAAGCATAATTCTGATAATTCTCACTAACGTCATTACTTGAATTTTTAATTACGGTGCGTGAAGTTCCAGCAATTTGCATTAAGGCACGATGCCATGCACAACTAATTTTTTAGCTATAAACCTTGCGGAGCTCAAGACCTTTCCAACGAATGCAAAATTGTCGAAAACGGTTCGTGCGTTCTAGAGTTATTTCGCCAGGAAGGAAAACCCGACTTATTTTTATATATAGAAGATGATCTATTTGAAATTATTTAAAACAATTGTTAATTATTTTCATTACTCGCATTTTTAATTAGGGCGCGTGAAGTTCCAGCAATTTCCATTAAGGCACGATGCCATCCACCACTAATTTTCTTAGCTATAAACCTTGCGGAACCCGAGACCTTTCCAACGAATGCAAAATTGTCGAAATCGGTTCGTGCGTTCTGGAGTTATTTCGTCAGGAAGGAAAACCCGACTTATTTTTATATATATAGAAGATAATGTTATATAATCATAACTACAGTCAACCCTCCTATAATGTGGTGAGAGCATACTTTGTAATATGGTAACCGTGCTATAAGATCCAACATACAATGCAAGTTAGTTCGTAGTGCGTTCTACAGAAAAGGTCATCGCGTTGTATGGGAACCATGCTATTAAAAATCCAGAATTAGTACAAATCATAGCGCGTCATATGAACACCAATAAATACAAAAGACATAATGAATTATAAATTAATTTTATTAATTATTAATTAATTTTATTAATTTTATTAGATAAAAAAAAGTGTAACGAAAGCTGAACTAAAACTATTTTTCAATAGATTTTTTCAAATAGATTATTTTAAAGGTCTAATGTTCTATGTATTGAAAAAGTTTATTTGGGAAGATATATACAACACAGAATTAACAAGACAGTTATATAACACGGTCGAAATATAAAGTGCCTCTTTCATGCTATATCACAACTATTTTATTTAAAATTTTGTTACCTACATGTAAATAATGATTTTCACTAGATTTTAGTAAATTTTATCTAGGTTTTACTAATGTAAGTAATTTTATGTAATGTCAGAAATGTAAATTAAAAGTTGTTTCGAAGATATGTAAACAATGTTCTAAAATATATATTGCAAATTATAAAAGCACCAAAGTCCGCATTTATACTATAAAAAAAAACAATTCTAAATCTATGTTTCATCTAGTTTTGAACGAATTCTTAGAGTTCTGCGTTATCGAAGATTTGACTGTATTGACTAATAATTACAACAAAGAAAATATGCAATACTCACTTATCACACAAAGTTATGAAGATGCCAAGCACAAGTGTTAATTCCACTAACATAAATCTGCCCTTGTTTCTTCGAGACCTCAAACACGCGACGATGACCCGGGTGCGTTTGGCGCCCGAGTCAACACGCCTTTGTTCTTGTCTCTACAGAACGCAGAAACATAATGAAAGAGGATCTTCGACTATTGCCACAATATCAACAATGCTGCATTGTTAGATACGAACTTCGGTCTGGTTTGTGTATATGATTTTAATTCCTATCTATAATATTTTTTGACAGCCCTTTGGCAATTGAGTAAACGGTATCTTCTAAGCACATAACAAGGGCGCGTAAATGACCGGTGAATGTTTTGATAAATTAATATTATGTAAATATCATAACATTACAAATTAATTAATTATTAAAGCGACTGTCTTTGAACAGAAATTAAAAAATAGTTTTTATTGACAGTTTTTCGTGAAATTTGTTGTTTAATTTATTTTTTGGCATAATACAACAACACTTTTGGCTTTCTTCAAGTCTCTTAAGGAAATTTGACTTTCTTAATCATTACGTATTGGTGTACATTTGACAAATGAGCTAGTGGTGCATGGCATTATGCCTTAAGGCAAGTTTGTTTAATTTGAAAATCTATTTGAAAATAATTGAAATAATTGTTTTTATTTATTGATCAATTTTTATCGCCTATTGATTTTTTTCCTCGAATTTTTAATTGCGGTTCTGGAAGTTTCAGCAATTTGCCTTAAGGTACATTGCCATGTCCTACTAGTTATATTTTGTTTGATTTCTAGTGATTATCCAGCGATTATTAAACCACTCTAATGTTTATACAGCTATAAAAAATAATTTTGGATTAAAACTATAATCGTAATTTAATTATTATCATAGTACAATAATTATAATATTTTGCATTTAAAAATGAAATTGGATTATTGAAAGTAATTGTTTCTTTATGTGCATGAGAGCCTATTTATAATGCTAGGAAACCACATTTTCATTACTTCCGATTAATTGATGTTGATCTTTATTCCTTATCGTCAACCTATTTAGTGTTGACAATATTAGGAGAACTATGTTGATTCGTCTTCTTTCAGTCGAAAGATCGATTGCTGATATTCTTCTTGATTCAGTTTATTACTATACATTTTCTTTACAGATTAGTAATCACTCCAACCGATGCAAATCTTCATTATCTCCATAACGATGTTCTAATTGGCTTTGTCAAACTTTGTAGAGCAGGTGCAAATATTGATAAATAAACATAAATGCAAAAGAGCACTTTAAAATCCAGTTTTTTCTTTGTCATTTCCTGGAATTTTCATAATTATGTATATGTATATATATACATATATATATATATATATATAATATATATATTAAATTTGTTTCAATTTATTTACCTCAAAATAAAATCAAATTATTGTCAAGTAGACTGACACGATTCATTTGTATATTAATGCCCTTATGCATGATGCTTCTATCTTTACTAGAAAGTATGAAGTCTTTCAATTTCTAATTTCTTGAAAGCAAGCAAAATTAATATATAAAACAAACTGTACATGTATTATAATATAATATTACAAGAGATATATCTATTTTATCAATATAATATCATTATTGTCTTAAAATAAGTTAACAGGTATGCTTATAAATAAAATAGATTTTGATTCAATAATTTACCAATTGCATTATTTTTGCGGAATAATTTTTGCAATATTTTGGATATTAAAATTACCTTAACTGATACTTAAGCTAAGTTCATGATCAATGTATAATGATAGTGTTACTTATCAAAAAATTACAAAATGTTATTACATTTTCATTTCATTTCTTAATTTATGAGGGCGATTCAATCAATTAAAATATATATAAATACCGACAATATTTTACACTTTATCGTATACTTTTTTTTATTTAATAATTTTATTAAAAAGGGTTTTATTTAAATAATTAATTCATAATATATAACATATATAATTATACAAGATAATTTTACTAATTTATAATTCGATATAAAAATATAGGATGCAAATCTGGAATTGGATTGAATTGAATTTAACGTTCAATTCATATAATTAACCCGCAGAGTTTTTAATAAATATTTGTGAAAATTCCTTTCATGCAGATGCCAAAGAACTTTTTACTATTTAGAATTCTTAATTTAAAATTTATACTTAAAGAAGGGAATCGACAGCATGTATGACACCATTTGTGGCTGGAATATTGGTGCTCACAACTTGCCCGTCGTTAACTTTAATTCGACCTGAAAAAAAAATCACAGAATTAGTTAATTTATATTATTAATGAATTAAAATTTATGAAAATTATAAAATTAATATATTAGGTTCACACTGTGAGAATTGTTGGAAATGTATATTACTATTTCAAAGAAAATTTTCTTTATTATCAGAGAAATAAATAATAATATACAAAAAACACATAATTTGGAACCATTATACTGAAATTTGCTGATGTTTAGGATAGAATAGGTGTAAATATAAAAATAAATAGTGGTGTATGGCATCGTGCCTTAAGGCAAATTGCTGGAACTTTCCGTACCGCAACGGAATGTTCGAGGAATATTAAATGTTTTCAAATAGATTATCATAAATAATGTAACATTGTCTAATATTTATTTATAAGAATTATAATATTATTATTATAGGGAGATGTCCTGAATAGTTTTTGGCAAGGGCAGATCCAGCCGTTACGGAGATACGGAGCAAAGACTGCAGAAAATATAAATCGAGTTTTTGAGAGAACGATGTATCACATTTTAGTGATCCAAAAACCTTTCAATTTTTAATGATTGGGAGAAGTAGTGATTAGTTTTTCGCAAAAGCAGGCCCAGCTGTTTAGAAGATAGAGATTGAAATAACTTTCTGCTTGTGTTGACAAAACAATTGCTTTTGAAAAAAAATTGTTTTTTATTTCAATTTTTAAAAAAATGTACATATATCAAAAATAATGCAGATTTTAATTTCAATTCTGGCTAAAGTTCTAAAGCTCACTTATATACTTTAAATAAATAATTTTATCTTTGTAATTCAGTTTTTATAATTTTTATAAATATTAGACAATGTAACATTTATAATAATCTATTTGAAACATTTAATATTTCTCGAACATTTCGTTATGGTACAGGAAGATTCAGCAACTTGCCTCAAGACATGATGCCATATACTACTAGTTTTATATATTTTTAAAATAGATTTTTTCGCTTTATAAGCATTGTATCAAATTTAAGCAAACTATGATTGAGAGTGCACAACTCGATTTTAAGCTCAACAAATAAAACGATATACAATAACAATCTAATAATTTTTAGAATAATAACCATACGATTCAATTAAACATAATATTTATTTACATCACCTCATAATAAAAAAGCATACAAATGAAATGTTTGACTTGATTAAATATCATCACCAGGAAGTAAAAGTTTTTTATTTGTAGACACAGATTCATAATCTAGTTAAACATTTCTATTGAATGAAACACTCTCTAAAATAATCAAATTTATAAAATCAATGTCATTGACATTTATGAAATACTCACTTTCTTGATACATCTTGATGTATCATCATCTCACTCATAAAAGACTAAATTGATGATTGCGAAATAAGAAAGTTTTGTATACACAAAAATATTTGTTTGAATTCCATAATTAGAGAATGGCATTAGTGAGGGTTTCAATTATAGCACTTCGCTAAATAAAAACGTTATAAACTTAATTAAAATAATTTACTTCCAAATTGAGTTGTTCTAGTATAATATATACAACACAAATTGAAAGTTTTGAATAAGTGTTGAAAATTAAATTTATCATATGGCATTTTTGATAATAAATATAATTTAACTTGTTTGGGAACAATTAGGCTTCAAAGCATACTCACATGCAAAGGTATATGCTTACACATATTATATATGTAATTATATATATATATATATATATATATATATATATATATATAAATATCTATGTAGTATATATTATGTATATAATGTATTACGTTTATTTTCCTATATGGTAGTTTTCCTGATTATCTGTACATTACATAATATTTGCATATTGCATTAGAACGCATACTTGTTGTAACTACACTATATGTGATTAATTAATAATTATTCTCCAGCATGAGTTGCTAATAAAATTAGTAATACATAATATGAAAATTATCCATGCTATGGTATAAGATATTGTATATTTTATTTTATATTTACACGTTTAGACATGTTATATCGAATGTTATATAAAAATTGAAAAAAATCGCAAGGCAGAGCGGATTTTAAAAGTCCATGGTTAAAAAAATCCACCACCGATATCTCAGAAATAAGTAAAGTTAAGAATTTTTTAACAATAATAGTTGGAAGTATAGGGAAAAAGATGTATAACCAGCCATCACCTTGATTCTTACGACGTTGCTAACGGACTGTAAACGGCAATGTTTGAAAATCCATAACAAGTTATTTTCTTTCGTTGTTAATTTATTTGGTTGTGAGCACTGTTGTTTAGTTTGCGAGACCCTAATATAATTTTTAAGTAAACGTTATTGAATATTTTTAAAAGATGTATTATTATTTTTAATTTAGATTCAACAGTTTTTTATATATTTTTTGTGCATTTTAATTACAATCTGTCACACTTAGGGCATTCAGTAATTGTTTTGACTTATTATATGGATTTTTTAATAGATGGCAACCCAGTAGTTGTCCAATCCAATTATGACTAATTATCTATACTCGAAGTATTTATTGACATTAAACAATTCTTTATACAACCTTTGTGAGAGAACCAACTGAACTTTTACCCTGGCAGAGATGCAAACAATAGAAATAATAAATGAAAAAGTTATTTAAGTTATATTACTATTTTACAAAAGATAAATTAAGTAAATTATAAATTGAATAAATAGTTTTTAACTCTGCTGATAAATATTTCTTACGTAATACTAGGCCGGAGTTATATACAGTGTTTTCTCTTTGAAAAATATGCTCATGGAGTTTATAGTTTGCATTGATTAAATAATGTAGCTATTATTTCGTAAAATCCCTTTATAATTAAAAATAAGATAGTCACGCCTTTAGGTGAAAAAAAAACAAAGTAACACATTTTTCAAAAACAGAGAAAAAAAATTACAATGATGAATTACCTGGGAGTTTAACTGAACATAGTTTTTTGTTTGATATGTATTATTTGTTCGGATATAGTTGGCTTGGTTTTCACGATATAATTGCTCAAAGTCAAATTGGACCTTTTTGCCCCGCCCTACCCTATATAAAACATATTCTCGATAAAAGCTTTAACCACTTAACTGTGGCGCGCTCATCAAACATTGAGAACAGTTTCTTGTCTTTCTTTCCTCTTTTTGTTATGACGAATATATTCACAGTCAATCACAAGGTAAGTAGCGCTGGCGAAATATCAGATAAAAACATAGGTTTATTTTGCAAATTAAAAAGCCTTATTTTCAAAATCGTCAGTGACTCGATCAAGTTTGCATAGTTCTACTTATCAATGAAAAAACATGAATTCTAATATCCAACCTGTACCGCAAATTCTTCTAAAATTGTTCGAACTTTTAGTGAACTTAACACGTTGACGTAAATTTGCCATATATACAACTTGCATAATTTTTATACTTCCGAAAATCGAGAGTGCAATGATGATCCTGAATTTACTTACTAACACATTATAAATATAGATAGTTTTTTTCTTTCAGCAGATTGATTTTTCTTAGCAGCAGTTTATTTTATCCTACAACAAGCAAGAAGTTTTGACCGTGTACGCAATTTGATATAAATCTGTTTTATTTTTAGACCAAACAAAGATTCCCATCAAAATTAAAGAGAATTTAAAACTTTCACAAGAGGAGTGTCCACGTGGAGAACGTTTTTTGTCGTAACTTGTTTTTCGTTGTGATTTCAACGCATTCTATGCAAATGCAAAATATGATGATATGAAAGTGATGAGTGCGTGCGTGTCAGACCGTCAGACCGCGTGTGGTGCGATAATTCCAAGTTGTAGACGATGCGTAATTATTAATTGGACGGCCGGTATAAATTTATAAGATGAAAATATGTAAATATAACTTTTAGATGTTTTTTTACGATTGCTTTTTCTCCAAATATAGGGACCTTATAGAAAAAGCTATGCCTAATTGCTGTGCGATCAGGCGTTTTAGGGGCCGTTCAAATATTACGTAAGCACAATAGGGGGACGGGGGGGTTATTGATTTGGGGTAAATAATTGTACTAAATCTGCTTATGTAATACTTGAACGATCCCTTATACATAAATCTCAATTCACGTATGTATTACCAAGAAGACATCAGAAAGCTGCACTTATGGTAAAATTGTTATTTGAGGTTTGTACGTTTTGTAGGTTAAGTTTTATGTGTTAAACTCATGAACGCACAGCAAATACAGTAATACCCCGCTGTTTCGGTTTAGCGCTCTTTTATTTCAAGCCAGGTTATGAAGGGGTAAATGTGGAACAAAAAAATATTTCAAGAAGAAGCGCTGTCTTTCTAATGATGAGATCAAGGAATTAACTGAACAAGAAAAAACAAAAATGTTGACATCAGTGATTCAGAGGAAGAGCAAAAAGAACTTTTGATGGCATTTGTAAAAAAGAGTTTGTCTACAATAACTAAAATAATGGATCAATTCAATGATAATGATCCGAATTTTGACAGAAGGTTAAAAGAGGGGCCTGGTGTTAGAGATGCTCTACACGTTTATGAAAAACTTTTAACAGAACAACGCAAAAGAAAAATGCAAACGACATTACATGCTTTTGCCACAAAAAACAGAACACTGAAAACGCGAAAAGCTAACTACATATGACTGACTTAGTGTATGTTATTTATATTTTGTTTTTATTTTTGCAAGAAACAATAATGTGGTATTAATTTGGGTTTTCAGAAATAAATGTTAAACGGAGTATTACTGTACATAGATTTTTGGTTATTTGTTATTATCCCACCCATTACCATAAGATTTATATATTATCCAATTATTGGTCTCATAATCTGCCATTATTTTATATTCAAAACACATGTCCTAAACATATAGTTCAATTTGTATGTTTAATGTCTCACAAATTCCAAATTTGATTCTGATGATTTTTGTCAATTTAAAGTCAAATAACCAACTTTATTTGAAACGATAGAGCTTTTCAAATTGCTTTTCATAAAACTCTAATAAAATACCAAAGAATATTTTGAATATAATATAAGCCTGAGTAAGTTGCATGGCTAG